ATGAGTAATTGCACTTGGAGGTGATCTGAACTGGTAACCTATCTTGACCTTCACAGTGGAAGACCGGCATGGTGGAAAATAATACCAACTCTCTTTGGTGGGAAGATCCGCGACACGGCTTGGTCAAGGCATCCTCTTAGGAGTTCATTTGTCGTATCCCCTGGAAAGGGAACTTTCGGGAATAGCGTTTTATTTTCCCCAGTGTATGTGAGGGGAGTTTGTCTCACAACCTTATTCTTTGTAATTAGTCACTCAGGGTACCCATTTTCGCGAAACAGGTCCTAGATTTTCTTAAGCTCTTCAATGCCCTCTGCCGAACACATTTATCGAGGGCTAGTTGCTGTCCCGGCACCAGAAGGATCCCCAAATCACAAGTCTGGGAGGACAGAATGAATGGGAACAACTTTACTGAGCTCAAATAGCTTAATAGTCGCTGCTGCAAACGCCGCTTGCAGAAACCAGCCGATTCGGCGTAAAAGTGTCTATGCGCGCGGGTTTAGCCAAGACTGTCCAGCCCTCATCCAATCAGGGAAGGGTGCAGGTATTGGCAACAGAGCTCGCGAGAAATCGATTAACTTCGGCCGTAGGCGTGTCGACAGCGGGGGGTGCATAAGTACAAGAGCGCCTAGTGGTAAGAGGATGGGTCAGCTGGGCGCGTGGAGTAACTCGCGGTAGGCAATGGCTTGGAGAGTGAGAAAGAGGGGAATCAGCGCAGTAATACCGCATGCAGGCTGCCACAAACCTTTCTAGTCCTTTGTGCTAAGCAGCGGACTAGATTACGCTTTGTTGGTTGTGCTCAAAACTGCTCACGATCGCACATTGTCCAGCCCAGGTTTTTTTCGATTAAATCCCCTATCGGACGCTACCGTATCGTAAGCAGACTACGCCTATCGACTCCTCCCCTAATACCCCGACTCGCTCGTATGATAAGACAAACAGTATTGACTGCATCTTTAACATTAACCCCGTTATCAGCTCAGACCACCTTCATGTGCATCCACTTATTTATTTGCTCCTGTAGAGCAGGTAATATTGGTCACACGAGTCAGCGCTTATCCAAAAGAATAAGGGAACATCTCCCGGCATGGCTGAGAAAATGTGAAGTCAGGATCATGAACAGCGCCACCCTCGCTGGATATCATTTGGACCCTAACGAAGCCTTCCGGATTATTTTTAAGGTCCCACTTGTTTAACTTGTACCCCGTTTCGATATGAACGTACTGAAGCGATAAGAATTTGTCGAAAGCTTACGTGTCCTCGCCAACTGCCCTTTCGGATACTCTGAGAGGAGTTTTTGCGACTTAAAAACGATCCAAAAAGCTCATGCTAGAAAACCTATTCGAACACGCTACAAATCGTACCTTAGGAGATTTCCAGCCCGCAGAATAATTCGATCCGTCTAACGAGTGAGAATTAGGTTGCAATTAACGCTTCCCACTGTCTTCCCTTACCGATGTGAGATTATAGTCGCCGGACAGATATTGTGAAGACCAAAGTGTGCTTGGCATGCCTAGACGGACTGCTTGGCTTTTTCAGTTTATTTGGTGAGCGCAACAGGCATTGCCTTTAAAAACCCTTCTGTTTACATGCCCGTGCGTCATATACATCTGTAAACAACCTCTTAAAATAGTATTCACAAAATTTGAGTAGCACTTTGTCACAAATAACTCTTGTCTAGAGCTTGTGTGATAGTAGTTCGAGTTCATATTGTCAAGGGGCAACAGGGGACACAACTATACTTATCCAAGCGTTACTTGAAGAACTGTAGGGACGCCGCCTCCATGGCTGATTGCGGGCGGTTATTCCATTATGCTATGAAGAACTCAGAGCGGAGATTGAGCACGGCCATTTTCGTGCGCATCTTCATAGTGTGTCCACGGAGAGGAGGAGACAGGAGCCACTGAAACATGTCCTCAAAGCCCAATCCTTACTCAAGGTCGTTTACCATCTCTGTCCGACACTGCCCCCGACTTCAGCTACGGCTGACTTTTCATTTGGGTAGCAAATGATAGGGCGCTGACGCAGGTTCCGAATAGTCCAATAAAGACGAAGGTTCCCCAAACAGAAATCAGGGAAGAGGGGAGATTGGGTTGGACCAGCTTTTACTAAAATGAAGCGCGTACAAGAGGCTATGTAAGCAGTTACCACAAGTTGTCCCTGCAGACGCGTGTCATTCCGTGCCCACGGTGCGACTCAAAGCCCTCAACGCGTGTAAGCACCCTTATCGTCCGCAACCAATCAGAAAACGACGTTGTATCGATTGGCTTCGAGCGCTCATGAATATGTGTCTCCTACGCTCCCGGAAGAGGATTGACAAGGAGTGTGAGGCGGACAGGTCAGGGTAGGGGCAATTTCCGGATTGGGCTGCCACGATGACTAAAACGTTGGCAAGGAGAGAGGGAGAAAGAGAGTATGGCGGTCATGGGATCAACCCCTGTGCTGACACCTTTTCTTCGCCGCCAAGTTGCAGGCCCGCATGTGACTGCGCAGTGCGTGGCTCATTGGGTGTTTGCTCGCAAACCTTCCATTTTCAGGGACTGACCGTCAAACGCTCCTTGCCGACTCACCCACATTGTTGCCTCGTGGTCGGACGACGCCGGCATCTTCGTCCTTTGAACTAGCGAGCTTGATGCCAATTATTGTGGAGCACTTCCCGATTGGCTACAGGACATCGTCGGATCCCGCAACCCTGCGCAGAGGCACAGAACACACATACACATAAACTGGCATCTGTACTGTGCACAACTTTTTTTCTGCAGAGATTTTTGTTAGCTCCGTTCACCCAGTACAGTCCAACCTTATCGGTCTTACCTGACTTCTGACTTGGGGGAACCTTCTGTAGTCGACAATCATCTTTCGACAAGATAGGTGGATGCTGGACAAGTCAGCCTCAACATAAATCCCGCACAATCACCGCCTTAGACTCCCACTCGGTGAGGTCTACGATGGAAGTCGTCGCTGGTTACAGTCGGCCTCCCTAATGAGAACCTTAGCAAAATGAGCTCGTTCTGAAGGAAATTGTTGAAACTTGCGATTGTCGGCAAATGAAGGCTCCCAAATCACAATTCAGGGAAGACAAATTAAGTTGGACAAGCTTTCACTGAGGCAGAAGAATGTACAGAAATTTCGCGAACTGAGGCAAATGCTCCTATTCCAGGTGAGTTTATGTGTAAGGAAGAAGTAGAAGAAGAAGAAGAAGAAGAAGAAGAAGAAGAAGAAGAAGAAGAAGAAGAAGAGATCATTGGAACACGAGGTTTATTGTCCTGACGTTTCGGATTCCCTCGGTAATCCTTAATCATAGGTAAGGTTTATTTTCCTGATGTTTCAGATTCCCTCGGGAATCCTTAATCATAGGTAATAGTAGAACAGTCTGGGATTCCGTCGGAGGCCTACCGGTCATCGAAATTATGGTTTTATTCTTCCGACGCCAAAGCCTACTTCCGGGTTTGGCGAAGATCCTTTTGGTAAATCCTACCTGGCTGTACTTATGCCCTCTATTATAAAAACATGTAAAGGCGCACAAACGCCAGCTACAGCGACTATTAGCGTACGAAATCGCCCGAGTACAAGCAAAGATTGGTTTATGCTCGTAATTATTTTCAGAGACAAAATACCTTATCAGCATATTCTGCTCTTCGGGAAAGCTAGCGATTAATGGGAATGCTGACGAGTGACCAATGTGAACAGAACCCATCGTAGACAGTTCGGTCAGCGTGTTTAGGTCGAACCGAAGGCTTGTAACCGATTTTGTAATTTACCATACCAACAGTCCAGGTATTAGCTAAAAGGCCGAGACACGTGTTTCGCCGGTAGGCTACCGCTGCCTGACACAGCTGCGAGGGGTCCGGCACATCAGAGAGTCCCTCAGCTTCCCCTGTTGGCTTCCTGGTTAATAAATAGTTTTGAATATTCAGCTTTTTTAATTCCCTTAGAAATTGATTTCTACTCGCGGTATACATCAGCATATTTAAGTTCTATAGGCATAGGCCGAAACTGTAAATGTATATTTGGGCTTAAACCCGTCAACCACCTGCTGCCAACGGACAAAGTGTACTAGTATTCATATACTGTTTTTTTGCCATCGTTTTAAAGTGCCCGAAATTTGAACCCAAATGCAGCATAAATGAAATAAAGGTACACACCGTTTAAACACATGCACGTTTTTTTAAATTGGGATAAGTCCCATACTGTTCACAACTTAAAGCATATACATGTAGAGAATAAATGACCGGCTCCGCGCAATGAACGGGTATAAAGAAGTCTAGGTCAGGGTGACAAAAACGTGCTGAATGACGACGCGCAATGTGCATGGGGGTGGGTGGACAGAGAGAAGATGAGAATTAGGTATAAACAAGCCGGGGGACAGTAGATTCCAATGGCTGGTTACACTTCATCAGGCTTGGCCTCCGCCGTCCGTGCAGGGCTCCGCCTCGCTGCCTTCAGGTACCGCTGCTGCTGGTGGAGCCTCAACGTCCTCTCCCTCAACTCTGGAGACCTTTGGCACCGAGGCGTCCGTCTCCGCTGCGGCTGTGGTGTTTGCCTTTCTCTTCTCTGCTTGATCACGACGCTGCTGTGGCACAAACTTTTCTACGCCCAGCACCTGGTAAAAGAAGAAGAAGAAATGAATCATGCTCCCCCACGATGAACGCAATTCGACGCAATCCGGAATGAAATGACCTAAATTTTCTGTGTTTTTACGAGAAAATGGCCTCGTGTGCATTATATAAAGATGAAGGATAAAATTCGCGATACTTTCCGATCTAGAAGGTAGACCGCGACGTCAGGTCGCTAACAAAACTCACTCGTTCCACTCTGTATCGGGGCTGGGTCTCGAGCCCCACTGGTAGCCGCACAGTGGCTAGTAATCTAGGCAGATAGCATTGCCGGCAAGGACAGGGGGGACTGGAAGGGCTCATTGGCTAAACAGTTCATTCTATATAAGGGGTTTGTCCTACAAGTTCGGCATGATGACTGTTCAGATTGCAGTGCAGGTCATCCGGGATTCAGCAGGACGGTAATATCGATCGCTGAACGTTAATTAACGAGTATCCATACCTCCCGATCTTAAGCGGCAAAACAAGCTCGTGGTTCAAGGGTTAGAGCATTAGACCTCTGACCAAAAGGTCGCAAATTCGAGTCTCGGGTGGTGTACCACTGGGGGTTGGGTATGACTGGCTGATGACGGAGAATGAGCCGGAAATGGCCATTCCAGTTTCCCTTGCCTCCTTCGCCGCCAGGTTGATCGAACAGCCAGGAGACGAGACTGACTTCTACAAGTCGCTCAGAAGGACCGGAAAATCCGTGATCGCCATAAACAAGGGGATGCAATCATAAGTGTGAACGTAATGGCGGCAACACAACACGTACCTTGTAAATTTGTCTGAAAGACACAAGTCTGAGACTGAGCTGAGCAGTGCGTGTGATCAACTCCCTGTCAGCCAGTGACAAATCAGCCAGGAGATCCACTTCGGGCACAGCCCGACGCGCCTCCGGTGGCAGATGAAACAGGTACTGCGGGGGGGAACTGCAGCTGGGGTCCATCAGGTGGTATAACTGGAA